TTATCCAGTTGCATTGTTTGTTTGTCGTTCAAAATTATTATAGTGCAAACTGCACGGCGATTTCTAGTACATCTTTGCATGTCAACGCTTATACTAGACTTTTGTATACCAGCCATTTTCGCATGCTGGGAATTCACCGCACGGCGATTTGTATAGAAACCGCCAGATTTGCACGGCGTTTTCTCTAGAAGTGATGATGGTATAACCCCTCTATTCATCGCTACCAGAAACGGCCATAGTGAGAACGTCCAATTACTGGGTTTTAGTGGTGCCGATATCAATCTCCAGTCAAACTTAGGGACCACAGCACTACTAATGGCGGCAATGTACAATCGCTTAGAGCCACTGCGAATTTTGTTGGACGCTGGTGGTGATGTGGATATCGAGGATGATTGCTGCTGGACTGTGCTATCAGTGGCATATTTTAGCGGCTACCCAGAGCTTGTTCAGCTGATCCTAGAGAAACATCCAGCATCTATGATTGATTCATAGAGTAAGTATCAAAATGAGGCCATGCGATAGGATAATAGCTAGTGTATGTTCGTAGGTACATTGCAGGATACCTTAGCTGGTTGAAAGAATGATAAATGTAAAAGTGGAGCATCATTGAATCAAAATTCAAGTTTTTTTGGCAGTAAGCCTGTTCGTGGCTCTCGGTACATGACCAAGAACACCTAACTATTTGTGTTTGAAGCAATGTGGTATCATCCTCCTCAGCTGCATCCTGAGTGCTCCCAAACCAACTGACCGTGTCCCTATCGAGCGTTGCTGCTACAGCCTAGCCTGTGTTTTACAGTCAATGTCGGGTTGTTCACAAATCCACGAACCTTGGTAGAAGTGCTGGCCATTTTTTAAGAATCATTGTGCCAAATTTAATTTCTGCGTTTAAGAAATACCCTCATACTTTTTTTTTGTCGTCGAACAGCTTCCGCTCCCACTTCTGATAACTACCGATCTTTAATGCCCCTTCAAAACCGTTATTTTGGACTACATCGAGAGACACACTTTAACTTTAACCGCGAACCCTCGACGAAGAAAGAATGTCCTTAAGCCTTTAACCGCGAACCCCTCGACGAAGAAGAATGTTCTTAAGCCAGAATCAAACGTAGTGAAGCGGTGTTGGCCTCGCCGTAGAGTTGGTATGGAAGCGGATCAGTTGTAGAGCACGGAAGCACTGGCAGCGCTCGCATTATTCAAATGAAGGAGGGAATATGACCCGATTTGCTAGGCTGAGTTTCATTTGGTCCCTGTAATGTTTTATTAAACCGGTGAAATCCTATAATTTACCAAAAAATATACTGAAATAACCGAAAATAGCCTTAAAATTTGGGTCTAGCATGCTCCGCAAACTAGGGCTTCGCGAAGACAGATATGATATATCAAAAGCGCCACGGAATTAAGATAGCGTATCGATAAACGCCTAAAAAAACAAATTGAAGTATTTTTGCTTAGCTACAAAGAGTTAATGTAATAGCATGACCATAGTCGTACCGATTCACCACTTTAAGTGCTGGCAAGGTTTCGCTTCGTCTCGATAAATTTCAACGAATCTACGCATTATAGGTTTGGAGTCCGAAGCAATGGGACTTCCTGTTAGTATGCAACTCTTGCTTTGTCGAAGCTGTTCGTTCGAATTTTACTAGAGCATGTCTAATTTTTAAAAATTAACACTGAATTACCCTCGTTGTTGCCCATGTGACATCAATCAGTACGTACAATTAAGCCGTATACTGGTGCGTACAATTAATTTGATTCGGGCTGTGCTATACTAATACCGTGCGTTGCCGGGAAGCTCAGGATATTTTTTGCGCCAAATTAAAAAAAAATGATAAAAAAGCAACATTAAAAATGTGCTTTCTAAAAACTATTTTTTAGAAAGTTTTTATTTTTAAGTCTACTAGATGAGTCTAGCTAGGTGCTTGTTAGCTATGCGAAAAAATATATATGAGATGAGGCAGAAGCTTATATCCTTAATACCGGCATCCGTTTAAAGCAAAGTGCCCCCAACAAGCAGGAAAACTATAATATACTTATTATCTCCGCTCTATGTGCATTGCAGTACGGTCACGAAGGGAATGAGAGACCAGAGTGGCGCCTTCGACGAAATTTTGAGTAGTATTCGACCGAGGGGAAGCTATCGAGGGAAGTATTATAGTAAAAATCGCACAAAA